TCTCTCTCTCTCTCTCTCTCTCTCTCTCGTGTTCTTGAGGTGATACGATCTTGATGTATCGCGAGCTTTGCTATTATAGTTGGATCTTATGATGTTTTCTCCCCCCTCTACTCTCTTGTAATGGATTGAGTTTCCCTTTTGAAGTTATCTTATCGGATTGAGTCTTTAAAGATTTGAGAACACTTGATGTATGTCTTGTCGTGTGTATCTGTGGTGACAATGGGATATCACGTGATTCACTTGATGTATGTTTTGGTGACCAACTCGCAACACATAGAACCTCAAAGAGTGCCCCAAAGTTCCTACCGGAGAATCACGACGAAAACGTGTGCCAACCCCTATGCATAGGTTCATGTGAATCTGAGGTTGTGTGATGCATATCGTATAATCATACCCACAGATACTAGAGGTGACATTGGAGTATCTAGGTGACATTAGGGTTTTGGTTGATTTGTGTCTTAAGGTGTTATTATAGCACGAACTCTAGGGCTGTTTGTGACACTTATAGGAATAGCCCAACGGATTGATTGGAAAGAATAACTTTGAGGTGGTTTCGTACCCTACCATAATCTCTTCGTTTGTTCTGCGCTATTAGTGACTTTGGAGTGACTCTTTGTTGCATGTTGAGGGATAGTTATGTGATCCAATTATGTTATTATTGTTGAGAGGACTTGCACTAGTGAAAGTATGAACCCTAGGCCTTGTTTCAACGCATTGCAATACCATTTGTGCTCACTTTTATCATTAGTTACCTTGCTGTTTTTATATTTTCAGATTACAAAACCATTATCTACTATCCATATACCACTTGTATCACCATCTCTTCGCCGAAGTAGTGCACCTATACAATTTACTATTGTATTGGGTGTGTTGGGGACACAAGAGACTCTTTGTTATTTGGTTGCAGAGTTGCTTGAGAGAGACCATCTTCATCCTACGCCTCCTACGGATTGATAAACCTTAGGTCATCCACTTGAGGGAAATTTGCTACTGTCCTACAAACCTCTGCACTTGGAGGCCCAACAACGTCTACAAGAAGAAGGTTGTGTAGTGGACATCACACCACTTTGCGGGGGCAAAACAAATATGAATTAGCCATGTGAGCATGAAATATTTCTTTTATAAATACCTTAATTTTGGACACAAAAGGTATAATTTTGCCATGTATAATGAAGTAAAATTATCTACATTTGCCATGTAGTGGGAAGCACATTTCGCATGGTGTGTAAAACAAATTTGCCACACCACCAACAATAAAACTACCACAAAAAGAAATAGAAACTGAAACTGAAAAAAAGAAATAGAAACTGAAATTAAAAAAAAGAGAAACTGAAACTGAAAAGAAACATAAAAAGGAAGACACAACAAAGTGAACGTGGGCTGGCCCAAACTGGGGTGTCAAGAGGTCATGCTTCAGCGAAGCCCCAAATAGGAATCACCCCTAGTGGGGAAGATAGTTCCCTACTACTAGTGAACTATCTTCCCCACTAGGGAACCGTTCTTTTGCCCACTTAGTATGCCTCCCAGTACGATCAATATTTTGAAAACAAATTCAAATTTTTGCCATCTTAAAAACAACAGCTAATTTTAATTATCACAAGATCAAGGTTCCAGATACCTAAATAAGGTGTCGCAATTTCACTCAAAATTATCTCCATCGCCAAAAAACGAAATATTACTCTACAAAATGTTTTCAAAAATTGTGACTGGCATATTGGATTACAAAAAAGAACTTATGAATTATGCAGTAAAATGTTTCATGCCATGTTTGTGACTACTTTTTCTCTCTATTTTCTCCATGAACCAATACCAAATGCCATGTGATTAACATTTTCTATAAAATAGGAATATATACATTGAACATTTTTTTAATACCTATTGAACATTTTGTAATATACGTTGAACAATTGTTTCATACACATTGGACATTTGCGTAATATACCCTGAACAAATTTAAAAACACACAGTGAAATTTTGTATATTCATTAAACAAATTCGAATATATGATGAACAATTTTATAATGCATGGTGAACTTTTTGTAGTATATTGTGAACATTTCATTTATATAAGATGAAAAGTTATGTAACACATAATGAACTTCGTATATTAAAAAATATAAAGGAAAAAATAAAAAAGGAAAATAAATAGAAAGAGAAACAGAGAAAAATAAACATAAAAAGGAAGAAACAGCGAAGCGACCATGGTCCGGCCCAAACTCCCGCTCACGACCGTCAAATAGGAATTTCCCCTTTGAGTATGCACTAGTGAACTATCTTTCCCACGGGTCGAGCAAACTGTTTTGTTCGCTAGAAGAACCACCCCGAACTAGGCCAAGACAAACCATTTAGTATCCCTCGCGGCACGATCAAGATTGCAAAATATTCCAAAAGTTTGCCATCTTAAAAACAATAGCTAATTTTAAATATCGTACAAAATTCAGGTTTCAGATATGTAAATAAGGTTTTCTAATTTTACTCTAAATAATCGCCATCGCCAAAAAAGAATTTATTCTAAAAAAAGTTTTCAAAAAATTGCGAGTGACATATTTGATTTAAAAAAGGACTTTATGAATTTTGCAGTGAAAGCTTCATGCCATATGCCATTATGCATGAATTTCCATGTTTGTTACTACATTTTCTCTCTATTTTTCCATGAAGCAGTACAAAATGCCATGTGACAGACTGACAGTACAAAAAATTATAAAAGTTTAATACGTGGCAGTTACATATTACACAAAAATAAGTTTTGCCAAAATTTTGAAAAATAAATCATAAATTTTCCATGTGACATTGCACCTTTGTAAACAGTTCACACAACTTTGCGGGGCCAAAATAAATATGAATTTGACATGTGAGCAGAAAATATTTCTTATAAAAATGTCATAATTTTGGACACAAAAAGGTATAATTTTCCATGTAAAATGAAGTAATATTATGTATATTTTTCATGTAGTGGGAAGCACATTTCACATGGCATGTAAAATAAATTTGCCATGACACAAACAATAAAACTACCATGATCTAATTAAAAAATCATGGTCTAATTAAAAAATTCCGTGGTCTAAGTGAAAGTAAAATAAATTAGTTAATTCTATAAGAGAAAAGGGGACCATGACTTGATTTCTCTCTATAATTGCTCCATATTGGATTTTTCTAAGGTGCGCACCGCTGACATCGATGCATCCCCTCACTCCTCAACATTATGTCTCCACGAAGAAACTGAAAAAAAGAATCCACAAAAGGAATAGAAACTGAAACAGAAAAAAAGAAACATAAAAAAGACGAAACAGAAAAGTGATTGTGGGTCGGCCCAAACTCGGGTGTTGGGAGGCCGCTCTTCAGCGAGGCCACAAATAGGAATCGCCCCTTGGAGGAGGCACTAATGAACCATCTTCCCCATGAGGGAACCGCTCTTTTGCCCATATAATATGCCTCCCAGTACGATCAACATTTTGCAAACAAATTAAAAAATTTGCCATCTTAAAAACAACAGCAAATTTGAATTATCTCTCGATCAAGGTTTTGTATACCTAAATAAGGTGACGTAATTTTACTCTAAATAATCGCCATCGCCAAAAAACAAAATATTACTCTACAAAAGTTTTAGAAAATTGTGACTGGCATATTGGTTTAAAAAAAGAATTTATGAATTTTGCAGTAAAATGTTTCATGACATATGCATGCCATGTTTGTGACTACATTTTCTCTCTATTTTCTCCATCAACCAATACCAAATGCCATGTGATTAACATTTTCCATAAAATATGAATATATATATATATATATAGAACATTTTTTTATACCCATTGAACATTTTGTAATATACGTTGAATTGTTTTCCATACACAATGAACATTTGTGTAATATACCGTGAACCAATTTCAAAACACACAATGAACATTTGTATATTCATTGAACAATTTCAAACATACGATGAACACTTTTGTAATGCATGTGAACTTTTTGTGGTATACCGTCAACATTTCATTTACATACGATGAAATTTTTTGTAACACACAATGTACTTCATATAATAGACAAAAAGAAATAATAATTAAAAAATAAAAATAAAATAAAATAAAAATAAAGAGAAATGGAGAAAAGGAAAAAAAAAGGAGGAAACAGTGCGTCGTTCGACCCAAACTGCCACTCACGAGCATCAAATAGGAATCGCCCCTTTGAGGAGGCACCAGTGAATTATATTTCCCATGGGTCGAGCAAACTGTTTTGATCGCTACACCCCGAACTAGGCCAAGACAGCCCATTTAGTATCCCTCCCAGCACAATCAAGATTGCAAAATATTTCAAAAGTTTGTCATCTTGAAAACAACAACTAGTTTGAATTATCACAAGATTAAGGGTTCAGATACCTAAATAAGGTTTTGTAATTTTACTCTAAATAATCGCTATCGCCAAAAAACCAAATTTACTCTGCAAAAAGTTTTGAAAAAATTGCGAGTGACATATTTGATTAAAAAAGACTTTATGAATTTCGCTGTGAAATGTTTCATTCCATATGCCATTATTCATGATTTGCCATGTTTGTGACTACATTTTCTCTCTATTTTTCCTTGAAGCAATACAAAATGCCATGTGACAGTACAAAATATTATAAAAGTTTGACATGTTACAGTTACATATTACACAAAAATATGCTTTGCCAAAATTTTGAAAAAACAAAATTTGTAAATTTTCCATGTGACATTGCAACTTTATAAATAATTCACACCACTTTGCAAGGGCAAAACAAATATGAATTTGCCATGTGAGCAGAAATATTTCTTATAAAAATGCCATAATTTTGGACGCAAAAAGGTATAATTTTGCCTTGTAAAATGAAGTAAAATCATGTACATTTGCCATGTAGTGGAAGCACATATTTCATGGTGTGTAAAATAAATTTGCCCTGCCACCAACAATAAAACTACCATGATCTAATTAAAAAAATCATGGTCTAATTAAAAAAATTCCATGGTCTAAGTAAAAATAAAATAAATTACTTAACTCAATAAGAGAGAAAAGGGGACCATGATTTGATTTCTCTTTGTCATTGATCCACATTGGATTTTTCTAAGGTGCGCGCCGCCGACGACCTTGGTGGATTGGTGAATCACATAGTGGTCAACAGACATGCGGAGGCATTCTTCACCATTTCCCTGTAGCAACAACACATGGGTATTATATGCTAGATGAGACGGAGGTGCTCATCATCATTACAAGTCCACAGAATTACAAGATGATGTAGGGAGGGCCCATGAAAGCCCTGTGCTAGAGTGTGATGACCATGCTCATTGGCTTGGGATTGATTATTTTGTTGTGAGCGGGTGAACAACATGAGTCGCTCGTGCTTCAGGCTCTCCAAAACATTTATTTACTACTTTAATTTGCTTATTTCAAGTCAGCAGCACCTCGTGGATGAGCCTATCAACATTGCGCATGGACCTTCTGCCAGGCCGTGCGGAGGCCACTGCACTCTTCTGGAGCTCAATCACGCGTTGTCGCATCTCTCGGCCCTTCTCCCCCTCCATGACCTCCCGTATCATGGCTTCCACCTCGGTCCTTCTCACATCATCCCCAATCTCCATCCCGATGCCCCACTCCGTGCACTTATAGCGACAGTTGGTCTGCTGCTCCGCGAAGAAGGGCCAGCACAACATCGGAACGCCGCCGCAGATGCCCTCGAGCGATGAGTTCCAACCGGAGTGTGTGAGAAACACCCCTACAGCCTCATGCTCTAGCACCTTCTCCTGTGGGCACCACGTCGAGAGCATGCTCCGCCCCTCGATCGCCGCAGAGAACTCCGGCGGAAGTGCGGCCTCGTCGTCACCCTTGACGAGGTCAGGCCGCACGTTCCACAGGAAGGTGTAGCCTGTGTTGGCCAGCCCCCACGCGAACTCCAACAAATGCTCCTTGGACATCACCGTGATGCTTCCGAAATTGACGTAGACCACGGAGCACGGCGGCCGGCCGTCGAGCCACCGAAGGGGCGCGTCCTGCTCCTTCCACAGGTTGGACCCAATGCCGGCGAGGGGGCTCTCCTCCGGTACGTTGTTGCGGACCGTGAGATGGAGCGGCCCCACTGTGTAGATAGGCGGCAGGAGTTTGGACATGGCGTCGAGAAGGGGTGAGTCGAGCTCGTCCCATGTGTTGATGACCACCGCCGAGGCCTGTGACATGGCCGCCGTCTCATGGACGAAGAAGTTGAACATGATATCATCGGGGTCCGTGGCACGCAAGAAGGTCGGGAGGTCACGTAGCCGCATGTCCTTGGGCATCGCCGGTATCCAGTCGATGGTCGTGTCCAAGTATCCATTGCTCAACTGCGCCTCTTCTGCACCAACAGCAAATAAATTAGAGCATGTGGCCTCTGAGTCAATAAAATTCACCCTTTGTCGAAAAGAAATGTTACCTCATTTTAATTTCGACGTGCACACAGGCAGCCAAAGAACATGGGTTACTTGAAGAAATTTGATTTTCTTGTGTATAATACATAAAGAGAGAGACATGCATATATACCTTTGAGAGGGAAGAGCCCACGGTCGAGTAGATCCTTGTAGTGGTTGTAGCCCATGAAACCACACGCGCTGGCGGTCCAGAGCGTGGCGCAGCGGAGGCCGAGCTCCCGCGCCGCTCGAAGGCCAAAACTCATGACGCTATCCGCCACCACGCAGGTTACAGGCGGCAGCGCGCCACCGGAGGCCCCGGCCTCCTCGTTGAGCTTGACGATGAGCTCCTTGAACCTGGGGAGGCAGGTGGTCATGGTAGAGTAGCACAGCGCAGGGATGTCCTGCGTGGCCTCGCGGTCGGACTGCGGAAGGCCATCGGCGATAGCGGCGAACCGGAACGCGGGCAGGCCACGTAGCATGTCGGCGGACTGGGAGCGCAGCAGGCGGCGGTGGTTGAACTCGTTGTTGACGAAGGTGACGTGGAAGCCCCTGGCGTGGAGCAGCTTGCCCAGCTTCAGCATCGGCGTGACGTGGCCCTGCGCCGGGTAGGGGATCATCACGGCGTGCGGCCTCTCACCCGGTGCCAGCAACCCGATCTCCATGGCTTCCTCCCTAGCAAGCTCGCTTCACCTTTGTTGCTTCAGTTCTTACTCAGAGGCCGCAACGCTGTGTTTGTGCGTGTGACCGTGTTCCCGGCCATGAGCTCCTGACGTGCTGGTATATAACATGGCTGGCGGGCCTGGAGGCGTGCTCGGCGTGCTCACAGGTTGTTGGATCAGTCCATCTCCACTTCAATGGCTGCCTGGTTGCTGTCGTTGGCTTCATGAATTATTGATGTTTGGGAGGACGACGGGACCATGCATGAGATCCGCACGTCCATTCGTTTTTTAGGGCGAATAGTTTGGTGGATTTGCTAATTTCTGATCACTCGTCATTTCGTGCTAATCTTAACTCCAATAAATTAATTGCACTAGCCGCCAACCCATGCATTCACACGGGTTAGTATATAATATCTTTTATATAAACTGACTTGTTTAAAGTAACAATATCATTCAAAATATACTCCAAAACAAATGATAATGTCATAGTACTATGCCATAAAATACTACCAAAGTAGTACCAAGAATGATCGATATGATCTACATTACATAAAACACCCAACGTTAGCCGTTTCACATGCAATTTGAAGATATCAAGTAATATAAATAATTTTCTTTTTGTTTCTGTTGCTGGCTAAGATATTGAAAACCATAGCTCTTACAAAGTTACTGTTGCAGTACTAATTAACAAACAGTAAACCTTATCAGAATCTTAATAATGTGGGAGTCTACTGAGTGGTGGCACTGCATATAAAGTATATTCACGATCTAATAATAATCCTATTGACAGAACACTTCGCATCATGACAAAAATGTGGCCAGCATAAATCTAATGTGCACTAACCATCAAGTTTTCTAGATCATTATAGAATAAATTATGCAACTACCAGTCTCTTTTATACGAACTGTCTCATCAGTTTGTATATCATCTGAACAAAAACACAATAAACAGTAGCAACATATATTTGCACGCTGGTAGCAAACTTCTTATGCTAGTGGATACTGAGACATATATTCTCCTGAATTATTATTTTTTAAACTTAAACTACTAACTTAGGTTTCATTTCATGTATTTAAGAATAACATACACACTTTCTTATCTCATCTGTATCCTACCTAACATAGTATTGTTGTGCTAACACATAATTCTACTTCCTATATATGAACACAGTTCTTCATGGCATCCATGTTATACTTACACAGGATACATGGCCTGTTTTGAAAGCAGGTTAATTCCCACTTGTTGTCCATCACTATTTTTATTATTTGAAGCACCCGTAATCATCACTGTACCTCGGCATGATGCAGTTCTAACACAGTGTATTTTTTTAATATCAGTAATGTACTGCATGCAGTTCCCTATTCTGAAGATGAAACATAAATATCTAAATCTTTAAATCCTAGAGTTCAGGTCATTCGCATATAGAAATTCATGTAAGGCGGATGAGAAATCTCGGTGAACAGAGAAGTTTGAATAGGAAATCTCAAAGGACAACAACTTGCATGGCACAGTTAGAAAATTAGATGGGAAACTATGTTTACTTACGACCCACATATATGAAAGCGAAACCTACTGATCACGGTAGACAACAACCGCCAACCCAAAAATACCTGATGCTCATCTTCCAGACAGCATCCTCCCTTTGATATTCCATCTTCTTCTACGTCTCTTTTCTATTCCATCTCGCGGCATAAAGAGCAAAAATTACACATGCATACAAAGTGTTCAGTGAAACACCTATACATGGGTGAACATCGTATTATTGGCTATCTGCTCTTCACTATTCGATTTGATATCTCTCCAATGCAGCATGGGTGCTAGCTGCGATCGGAGCCGGATCCCCTGACGTACGGCCACCTGACATTGGGCCACTGACGCGTGGGTTCGGGTCCACACGTCAGCAAGTGCGCCGTACGTCAGAGGAGCTGCGTCCGCTGCGATCAGATGCATGGGGCGAGGGATTGAACCGCCATATATAGGAGGGCGATAGAAGCAACTTAACCTCATTAGGGATCTAGATATCTTCGTCATGGTGCCGGTCCATGCCGTTGCCCATTGAATACAATCTTAATCCCAATTAGTAGGTCTTTTTTCTTTCAGAAATTGCCTCGCCAATCAGCCTAGTTGATTGTGGTCTTCACAATTTCCCTCTTGCGGCCAGGGTGCTGGTTTTTTACAACATGATCCTCTCCTTGGTCTACTGAACACATATGCCTTTCTAAGGTGGGTCTGAGATCTGCATATATAACAGTATATATGGAAGAAAATAATAATACAAAAGGGACGGTAGAAGAATTTGTGAGGATCCTTTAATACGCGATTAGCTACTTTTTACTACTTATTTAGAAGAACTACTTTTTACTGTTGGAGTTGTTTTTTCGTTGTTGACTTTCTGGTATTACTTCCGGACACCGAACCATCTTGATACCCATATCTCCAGCCATCAGCAAAAAAAATTCAAGACAAACTGGGTTGTTAAGGAGAGAAGTATAGATCAGATACATATATAATTATCATCATCAATGAAGGCAAAGAAAATAAATCACTAAAGACCAGGGTCAGCATTCCAACACCTCCCGATCCAACTTATCAGTCATTTTGGAGAACCTAAAAGATGAACACTGTTTTTATCCGATCTTCAAGCCTATGTGACACATGTAATGAGATTTCTGGTTGATATCATGGGCATGGCCGAAGAGCAGATCTCGGCTAGCTAGCATGCAGATGCAGCCATGCGACATGGAGTCGGTGCCGGTAGGTTTCTTTGGGAAAAGCAAGGCGATGTTGATGCCCTTATGGATTCAAAATTGGTATACAACAAAATATCGTTCTGATTAAGCAGATCAAGTTTGTAGAGAATCCAAAAGATTTCTATATAGTATATATGGTCAAACAGGGAACCAATTAAACCTGCCATCTTTAGAAAGATTGGAAGAACTGACGGAAAAAAATAACACAATATAGAAGAAATAGAAAGATTACCGGGTCTCGTCATCTAATTACATTATTGACGGAATCTAATATGCAGCTGTGTTGAGCATATATGTAGCCTCAGACCATCATTGTGATGCTCATCCTCACCAGATCTATAACAAAAGAAAATACATGTAAGACCTGTAAAACCAAAATCCTAGGTCATCGTACTTACAGCTTACCACTAGTAGAAAACGAGCCTATTGTCCCGGTTCCTGAACCGGGACTAAAGAGTCGTTACTAATGCCCTGTCCCTTTAGTCCCAGTTCAGTCCAGAACCGGGACAGATGGGCCTCCACGTGGCCTGTGCGCGGAGCCCAGGTAGGAGGGCCTTTGCTCCCGGTTGGTGGCACTAACCGGGATCAATAGGCATCCACGCGTCAGCATTTCTGTGGTT